AGAACTACAAATGACTCATGGTACCTCTTATAATCTATCAGTTATCTTTGATAATGTTCATATGATCAGACATGGTGTTTATCATTTTCTCAGTGAATCTCTTTTTTCTCTGTATATTACTAATTCATCAGTATCTAAGTCATGGGCAGGATTTACTTCAGTTTTTACCAGGAATACACACTTGAAATTAAAACGTAATACATGTAATATTAAAGGCATTCAACCACAGCCTAGCATTGCATTAGAAAACTGCAAGTTTTACAAAAATTATTATGGATTAAAACTTGTTGGTGAATATTTTAAAATCAATATTCCTCGACCTATTACTATTACATGCAAGTCTTGTTCAATGCGTCACAATCATAAATATGGTTTATGGATCAATGGACACTTATTACCATCAACTCACATCAACATTATAGACACCGAACTAGTTGAAAACAGACAGAATTTGATAGCAGCATGTTTTTCTGTCCTTCTAAATAACATTACTGTTACAAAAAGTTCATCAACAGGATTGGTAATTATATCTTCTGTAGTATCTGTAGAAAACAGATTAGTATTTAAGAATAATAAAGGAGTAGCTGGAGGAGGAATAGCAATAAATAGTTCATCTTTTGTGGCCCTGTCACCATCAGCTAACTTGGAGTTTATTGATAATCATGCAACTTATAAAGGAGGAGGAATCTACTTTGATGAAAATTGGTGTCAATTGACACGTGAGCAAGATTCAGTGTCACCCATTCCTCTTACATTAAAGGATAATACAGCTGGAGTAGCTGGAAATGATATATATGGGAAAATCTATGATTTTAATAAATTATTCAATTCAACAAAAAATGCTTCAACATCAAGTGATGCAAATCTTTTTGCTTTTTGTGATCCAAACAGCAAAAGAATTACACCACAGCATATCCATGAGTATGATGAGATACAATATGTTTTTCCAGGTCAAGCACTGAAATATAACGTTGCATTTTTTGGACTAAGTTATAACAACTTGCATAGCCTTACAGATGGCAGAGTAACACTAGAAATGAAAGGGGAACTAGTAGACAGAGTAACACTAGAAATGAAAGGGGAACTAGTAGACAAATACATCAATCACTGTTCACTAATTGAATACACACCAAAATGGATCAACTATCGAAGACTTGACTATGGAAGACATAAAATTAGATTTTCTGCCATACTTAGCTCCACTTTAAAACATTATGATATTACCTTTATTCTTAATGAGTGTCCTATTGGTTTTAGTGTAAACAGTTCAGGTGCTTGTGATTGCAGTGTTTCAAGAGAGAATGTGACATGTGATATAAATACCCTAGACATTACACACAATGGTCTACTGTGGATTGGAACATATCATACCAGTACACCTTTCAATGCTAATGAAACCAATCCTAATGCATGCATTATCAATGAGGACTGTCTCCTCTATTGTTCTCCTAATCCTGTTACCTTTCAGTTCAATCACACTGATACTCAATGTGTGGATAATAGAGGAGGAAGAATGTGTGGATCATGTAGAGAGGGATACAGTCTACTAATGGGATCAAACAAGTGTGGACAGTGTCATAATAATTACATGATGATAGGTTGGATTGCTCTGTTTGCAGTCATGGGTGTACTACTTGTGGTTTTACTGATTGCTCTCAATTTAACAGTATCAGTGGGTACACTCAATGGTCTATTGTTCTATGCTAACATTGTCAAGTTATACAAGCCAGTCTTTTCAAGAAAAGGAGCATTACCAGTCTTGCATCAGGTGATATCATGGATTAACTTAGACTTTGGGTTTGAGATATGTTTTTACAATGGTATGGACAGTTCTGCTAAACAATGGCTCCAATTTGCTTTCCCTCTCTACCTGTGGATCATTATCATTATCATTATACAATTGTGTAGGAGATATGGTAAGATATCAAGACTGATGGGTCTCATGCTGTTCCTGTTCTA